TTTCCAGCTGATGAACGATAAAAAGATTGACAGCTAATCAGAATCCACTCGATTTTAAAGAGTTCAATTTTAAATGAGTGTGTACTCATAATATACCAAATTGTATCACTCCTGGTGTGGACGCTAAACGTTATATTTAGCTTTATAGTTAGCGTTCTTGGTGTGAACAGGCCTCTAGACCTGGTGCGTCAATGATACATTGCTGTTGCTGATTATACACAGTATATTTTATAAACATACATTAATTATAATATTAATTACATCAATTTCCCACTGTAGTAATGTGCATCTGGACCTTATCATGTAAATAAGTCATTAAGAATTTCTATAGTTTCTGCTGCTGACCACAAAAGAAGATATTTTAAAGAAAGAACCAGTTGACGGTAGCCATTGAATTCCATAGTATGTTTTTCCATGCTATGGAAGTCAATGGCTACCGTCAACTATTTGGTTACCAACATTCTTTAAAATATCTTCTTTTGTGTTCTGCAAGACAAAGAAATTCATACAAGTTTGGAACAACATGAGAGTGAGTAAATAATGACAGAATTGTAATTTTTGGGGTGAACTATCCCTTTAAGCTTGAAAAAAAATTGGATGGCATTAACATTAGCAGCTCAGCATGGCTTGCATTCTAAAATGTGTTTGGGAAAGGGAAAAAACACAATGTAATCTTCTGTTCTGAAATATTAAAACATTGAAAAGTTGTAAACAAAATGTAATGTAGATTATTAGCATACTTGCTGTGTAGAAAAGTCCTGCTAAGACATTAAAATAGCAGCAGTGCTAAGACTATTTTGTCTCTCGGGTAAAGCAGGGAGTTTTGTCCAGATAAAAACTCAGTCTGTATTAACAACATTTTGAAAGTAGGTTCAAATTACAACAGAATCAATTTCCATTCCATGGGGTCCCAAAAACATTTAAATGTTTAGAACAGTAGAAGCATAAACACATTTAACTCTAAATAAGATAAAGATGAATTCATATCAAACAATTTGGCAGAACTCTGATAAATTTTATGCGCAATGAATCTAATTTATTAATTCATAGAGAGGTGGATGCCTCTTAAGGTGGCAGCCTGGGATATCAGGTAAGCCTCTGCTCTAGTTAGAATAATGAAATGAAAGTTATGGCAAGAGAGGTCAAGGCAATTTTATATAGATAACTAAATATTCATCAGTTTGACCCTAAAACCATGCAATGATTAATTGCATCCCTGATGTGATCAGAATTTAAATACAGTTTCAAAACCATGAACTCACTGAGCTGAGACATCCAAAATGAGTCATTTGTGCTTAATGCATGAAATATGCAATGTGTGGCACAGCTTTGAGTCGACCAGGTCATTCTGCTCCTGAGTCCTGATAGCACTGTTTTTTCTAACAGGATGCCCTTACAGAGAGGTTGTATGATTTTTGATATATGTGTCTTTTGTTCTATAACCAAATTTTGCAAAAAAATAAATAAAAATGTACAAAAGCTGTAAAATGTAGGCCTCATGTTGTGTTCCGGTTTCAGAGGATTCCCCCACCGGTTGCAGAAATGAAAGCAGCTTTACAGAGAAAACCAAAGCAGCTTTAAAGCGAAAATGCATAAATAGAGCAGTTTTACAAAACTATACACAGAACTTACAGGCAAGCTAAGCACTCCTTATGCTTTCGAATGAATGCTTATAATAGGTTTGAATGACATGAGGGTGAGTAAATGAAAGAATAATCATTTTCTGTGAAATGTCCCTTTAAGTATTCTACTCAACTTCTGTTCCAAACCAGTATTATGTGAACATTTGAGTCTGACCCAGTTTTCTGGCCTGTGTGGTGTGTAAGATTGGTGTGGGTTGTCTTCAGTCCTCATTAATCACTTCTGGTTCTCTTAGGGCTTTGTGTCATCATCACACACTCACCTGCTCCATCCATCCACATTTCAATACGCCATCACTTGCATGCAAATTTCTAAAGTCTGCACCGTAAAATGATTAATATTGCTTAATATGGACCTGTGTGCATTGAGAGTAAATACATCTGGAGATGTAAATACATTTGCAGTATCTTGAATAGTTCATAGTAGAAATTAATAGATCGAAAATTAACTCACCCAAGACCATCCAACATGAGTTTGTTTCTTCATCGGAACAGATTTGGAGAAATTTACATCACTTGCTCACCAATGGATTCTCTGCAGTGAATGGGTTCCGTCAGAATGAGAGTCCCAACAGCTGATAAAAACATCACAATAATAAACAAACCATCAATTAACATCTTGCGAAGTGAAAAGTTGTGTTTGTAATACGGAATAAAGAAATCCTTTATTAATCCTTTTTTTACTTCAGCTGTTTAACTTTATCTTCTGGATAAAATAGGGGTTCTCTATCCATAATATTGCTTTCTCCTTTGCAAAAGTTGTCTCGTCTAAATCAGGAGAAAAATATGCAAGCACCAGTTACAAGTGCAAACAGTCTAAAACAGTTTGTAAGAATAATGGTAGTCCAAGGCACTCGAATCTTATTCAAAAAAATTTAAAAAGCCTTTATTTCATCATGGCTATAAGTTTTAAGAACAGGTGACAAGTGCACACCTACGCGTTGCGGCTATTTTGCCTAGCCCAAGTACATTGAAGATAATCGGAATAGAACATGTCCCCATGTCAATAAGAGGAGGTGATAGGGTTAATAGGCTTTTACAGAGAGAGTCTTTTTGGATCTATACACTGAAAGCAACTAAACTTCCAGGCTTAAATGGGGAATTAGACCTGGTACCTTTTTTGTAATAAGAATTCAGATTTGGAAGCATTATATTGGTAATATATATTTTACCAATTTTTACTTTTTTTTTTTTTTTCTCCCTCCTTATATACATGATTATATTGTGTTTGATTTAATTTGATATGTAATCGTTAAACTTCCTCTCTATTGTTTGTCCTGTGTAGAACAACCAGGTGATTGTTATTTGACTAATTAACTGCTGCTTAAAATGAACTCCGATTGTGTTTGTTACTCACACCCTGACGAAGGCAAAATAGCCGCAACGCGTAGGTGTGCACTTGTCACCTGTTCTTAAAACTTATAGCCATGATGAAATAAAGGCTTTTTACATTTTTTTGAATAAGATTCGAGTGCCTTGGACTACCATTATTCTTACGAGTTGAATCATCCCTTGCACCCAAAGAGTACCGAGACTAGAAACCTAATACCCCGTGCAGCACTTCTTTTGCATTCTTTATTTCGAGTCTAAAACAGTTGTAAACAAGGACAGCAGGGGGTGGACTTTTTCACTGGAGGAAGCATTATTATGGACTAAAGCATTATTATTGAATAAAGCTGGTTTCAAGTTAAAATGCCCTAATAATGGGATTGTTCTTACAAACACACAGCGTTTCACTTCACAAGACGTTAATTGATGGAACTGATGGATTGTGTTGATTACTTTTGGATTATTGTGATGTTTTTATCAGCTGATTGAACTCTCATTCTGACGGCACCCATTCACCTAAGACGATCCATTGGTGAGCAAGTGATGTAATGCTACATTTCTCCAAATCTGTTTTGATGAAGAAACTCATCTAAATCTTGGATGGCCTGTGAGTACATTTTCAGCAAATTTTCATTTTGGGGTGAAGTATTCCTTTAAGAGTTTTGTTTTTCCAAACATTGTAAGCAAACAGTACATAACTCAAATATACAACATTTACAATGTGAGTGCTGGAAATTACATTCATACATCATGACAAACTCTGAATAATCATCATAATGAATAAGGATGTGAAGTATCCATACACCCGTTTGAAAAACAGGTGAAAAGAGCTGCATTTTCCCCACAGCTTCTTACTGCCAGCAGCCAAAAGTGATTTATTTCTTACATGCTTGCTGGTTGAAAACTCCAGTGTTTCTTTTTCTTAGCTTTCCAAATCAAGTAGTAGATCAAAAGACTAATTCAATCCTTGAGGACCTGTGCTTAGACAGATATTCCCTAGGAGCCTATAGAGTAACTCATCCATAAAACATTGGTCAGTTGTGTCATTCACATCTCCGCTGTTAAACACTGGCTAGCCTACGCTAACCATTCTGATCACGTTGCTGCAAGTCAGCCCTCTTAGTGTTTGCTTTTGAGGTAATTAAACTGCATTTGATGGATAACCTTGTTAAAGAGAGAAGTTTAGGTAATGATAATCCAATTAGATGTTTTTATCTACTGGAACTAATACAAATATAGTCTAAATTGCAGCACAAGCTGCTGATGTTGATAAACCAAGAGAACAAAGCACGTTAAATTTTTTGACAAGATTTCATAAGTTTACCAACTTGTTAGTAACTGTCTTTAGAAGAAGAAATAATACATGTAAATAAAGAAGCCATGATTTCTCTACTGACAAGAATTTGACTGAAAACAAGCGAGGATTGACTATTTCAACTAGCTATAATGCCATACATAATGACATTTGGCACAGACAATTTGTTGTTATAATGATGAGCTCCAAGCCTCTGTGTAACAACTTAAGAACAATTGGATGGCATCTGTTGTTATGGAGGAGGTTTATCTCAGAGGCTAGAGAGATCTCTCAGAGACAGTGTGATTTCCAATTATGTTTCGTTGTTTAGCACCACCGAGGTGCAAACTCTTTTGAACACCCTTAGACAGACTGCCCTCATGGGGAGAAAAAGGCATTAAATGACTCCGCTATTTTTGAAAAATATTTATCTGTCTGAGAAGTTTCTGAATTATTCCCCAAGCACAGCAAAGTTTCATATTCCATACTGTCAAGTGTGACCATTCCTTTTTTCAGTACAGTGCAGCTTTCCTTTTCTAATGCACAGTGCTCACATGTGTTTTCAATGTACTTGATATTAAAATACATTTAATAAATCTAATTCAGACTTGGATAGCATTTCCAAAACTTTGAATGCAAATGAACTCAAATGCCTTACAGTTAGAAATGTCAATGTAACCCAATTGGATATCTTGCATCATTCTGAATATATTTTGTCAAATGTAATGTGTAGCATTAAAGGGAAGCACAAGGAAGAAGACTGGTAATGCTGAGATTTCAACAATAATTCCCAAAACAGCATACAACACACACACTCAGTCTGCACAAGTTCCACTCTTCACAACAAAGGTAAAACCCAAACAGCACAACATACATTCTTCTACATCCTTTTCTCATCTTAATCAAAAATAGCACTTAATTTCAATTAGGGTGACCATACATCCTCATTCTCCACATTTCTAAATGTCCTAAAATGTCCAGCTTTTGGCTTTGTTTTCATACATTTTTAGGGTAATGACTGAAAAGTTGTTTGACCAATAGCATGCAAGCACTGTACATAATCGAGCAATTGTGGTACACGAGAAGGTGGGATCTACAGAGTATGGTCAAAACCATGCAAATACACAAACGTATCATGCATGCGGGCTATAGAGCGCATGTCAATAATAAACCAAAGCCTAATTCCGGATGTTTTAGGGAATTCAGAAATCCTGGCCAGGACATATCCGGGAAAAAGAGGACATATGGTCACCCTATTTCAATATTTACTCATCTAGCTTTTTGTGAACTGGAAATTACCTGGCTGGTTTCAACAATAATATATTAACACCAATGGGAATTATTTTTATTCATGATTATTCATTAAATGCACTGCACTGAAAGAAAAAGTTGCAACTGAATGTAGTGCAGTTGCTAGTGACACATACAGTGACTCACAGGAACCAAAGTTTAAATCTGACTTGGGTCATGTCCTGATTCCATCCCCCCTCTCTGTCCCCAATTTTCCTCATATTCCTATTGTCCTATAAATATGGCTTAAAACAACTGAGAACACAAAATAACTCATTCTCTGAGTAGTTTCAACACAAAATCTTATTTTGCTCTCTGTTAAGTTGTTCACAGCAGATGTCCAGTAAAGATATTGGCTAGATGATTTGTTGATGAGTTGATTTGATTTTTCTGTATCCCTGCGCTGTGAGATATCTGGTAAGACCTAATCACTACTCTTCAGGGCAACTAAAGCATGGGGAAAAGTATTATAAATGCAAATTCCCATAAAGAGCCTTGAATCTACGTTGCAAGGTCCTCTCCAGGAGATAATTACAGCCTGCTTTGATTACGTTCAAAAGACAAGATTGCAATAAAACTCATAAATAATTCAAAGCAACAAAAACACCCATAAAGGTGTTTTTTTTTTTTTTTTACTAGACCTAGGGTGAGGCCATGACTGCCTTCATTCCAGATGTTAGACTTGTTGACATGTACACAATTCTGTTTGCTTCTTTTCCAGACTTTAGGGGTAAATACACTTCTTGACACTTATCTATAATTCATAACACTGTTCTTTTTCTGAAGTGTTGCTTGACAGCCCTTGGGATCAAAACTGGGTTTTATTTACACTAAAACATAATTTGTGAGAATGTGTGAAATGTTTATTATGCTTTCTTTATTTATTTACTTTTTTAATTATTCAGGCTTTATTCAAGGTGCATCATGCATGTTTAAGTGAGAACTGGTTCGTCTAGCATTATCGAATTAAAAACCTAATTTTAACAGATATTTCTGACTACAAATTTTGATTGGATGAGCCTTTGAAGTCAGTGTAAAATTACCTGACATGTAACCCATGAATAGCCTACATATCACATATACACCTGTGACTCGACATGCAATAGGCTATTAAAATAATGTTCTGGGACAGCATATGTTGCATAAAGTTAATTACAAAGAAAATTATGTAGACCTGTCGCAGGAAAAATCTGGGTTACATTAAGGCAAATACAATGGAAGATAAAAAAAAGTTACATTAGGCCTCCAAACTCCAAACATTCAGTAAAAATGTGCATTATTTGACATAAAGGAACACGTACTGTGATCGACCGCTTACATTTAAAAAATGTAAGATGCAGCAGAATGTCTTGTCTTGAGACACGTTTTTAAAAGTTGAAATTTCTTTTAATTTCTGTGGAGAAGCAGAAAAAGTATCATGACGCCAGGCTTGCCTTCCAGTGGCTTTGGTTAGGACATTCCAATCTAAACCGCACTCTCAAAATAACAGGAAAACGTGTCAGGTTAAGGAGACTGTATCTCATGCAATTATTGAATGTACTAAATATGAACAGGAAAGAAGTAATATGATGGAAGAAATCAGGAAAAAAAAGTAGTTCAGGAATTAAGTATTAAAGGCACAATATGTACGATTTTCGTAATAAAATATCCAAAAACCACTTGCACATTGTTATATATGTCATGCAGTTGTGCACTTAAGTTATCCCAAAAGTTCCCAAGGATTTGTAAATCCAGAGAAATTCCAATTTTAAATAATGGCTCATCCCGGTTCATTGTCGCCTATCAATTATGTAATATCGTTAATATCAGTTTCCGCTTGTAGAAACTATGGCAACACACATGGACAAAAATGCTGCTGCAGTTAAACTAAATCCATTACGGCAGTCGCGAATAAAATAAAAAAAATGAAATGAAAAGTGCTGACTGCAGCATTAAATTTAGATCTGCTCAATGTTGCACCATGAATCTTTTTCTGCATTTTTACAGTGTTATAACCAATCACACCGTAGTGTGTGCAAGCAACATAGTGAAATCATATAATTAAAAAGACACTTGACAAAAAACTTGACAAATTTTTGGGCCTTTATAAGGAAACAGCCAAGTGAACAAAACTACATAAATGTAATAATAGATCAATTAAATGTGCACTGTTTTTTTTTTTTTACATGATTCCCAATTATTTATATTCACGATTACTAGTATTTGTACAGGCTTTACGTTTTTAGTTCAATGTTGTAATTAGCAATTCACGTAATTTTATCTTTGAAGCGGATTTGTTATGTGACAGCATTAATTAAAGTTTCTTAAGGGTCAAGATCAAGTTATCTGCATCTCCTGCACTCCATTAACATGAATATATTAACATGATTCATTCTCTCTCCTTTCCTCTGCTTCCTTGGTTAGATGCATCTCAGTCTCTATTATCTCTCACATCATTGAAAAACATGGTGGGTGGTTCAGCGGTGAATTACGTATTCCAGACTATTGATTGGGGTCATGTGATATGGCCTCTGAGTTTGTCAAGCTCCTTTATCAGTTGTAACTGTCCTTATTGATTTGGATACTGAGTGTGTGGGATGGAGCCAATCACAGAGAAAACTTTGCGGAAGTGACCCTTGGAGCAAATGTCTAACTTTCAAACCTCTGACCTTTTCCCACTTGCATATTTTATGGCAGCCAAACTGTCTTCGGTTAACACGAATCAACCATGCATGGTGGAGAATATGGCAGAGTGTGATGTCATGATATTTCTTCCCGCATACATCTGTTCTGAGATCCTCACGCTAGATATGAAATGTCAAGGGTGTGTTTGGAATATTGCCTGATACATTGAAGTTTCCTGTATAAAGAGATCTTCGCAGCGCATCTGGATATTGCCTGTAAATGTCTCTCTTTCCTCACTGTCTCCTCTGTGCAGAGAGAAGAGCGGATGGCCTTCTTTTAGATTCCATGAACTACCAGGCTGGAGGCTTTTGTGGATCCCTCAGGTCTCACTCCTCGCATACTCATTTACAAACCCATCATTCCTTTTGATAATGCCCTCCAAACTCTATCAAGCAGATGACTTTATTTGAATACAACAGGATGATTGAACAACAATGCACAATATTCTGAGAATGAATGCTGCAATGATTGAGATGTCACCATAGATGATTTATCAGAATATGAGATTATGCAATTTGCCTGTTTGACTTAATGGGAAATAATGGCAAACAATATTGTGTAATTGACTTTTACTTAAAAAGTCAAGAATTTTCATGAGTTTTTATTAGTTATTGTGAGTCGGGGTCATCACAAAAAATAAGTTTTCTCTATGATCTTATTTAATATTATTTTCCTGCACACTTTAAGGTCTGTATTGCGACTGCTGGAGGGCTGCTGAGAATTGTGGGGAGGAAGGAAGTGTAACATCATACAGAACAACAGAAAGGTGTGAGATGATGTTCATCTTGCTGCTTAGCCTTTAGAAAAACTTTCCTTAAAAGTGCTTCAGGGGAATGTTCAAAGTATTACATATATGAATCAACTCAATATTAAAAGAATCAATAACAACAACAAAACCATAAATACCTGCCATTTTGTTTAAATAGTACATAATTTAAAATATTGACTAAATCATATTGGTGTACTGAAAATGCATTTATAGAAATCACATGATGCACGACCATGGCCGGACTTACCATTGGGCTTGAATGGGCTGCAGCCCGGGGGCCCCGCCTTAACCCGTTTACATTTGTTCAGTTATGTGCCAGTCAGAAATTATTAGCCGCATTTCAACTGCGCACACGGGCCAGCCGGGGCTAACAGCTTCCAGCTTCCAACTACAACATTCGAAGCCATAATCAAACAGCATAAACTGGAATGTTTTTGTTTTTTTTTCACATAGAAATAGGACACATGTATTAAATCACGTCTGCGCTGCACCGAATCGTCGATTAATTTGTGATCACATGGCTACATTAAACGGTTCCATTAAGCCTTTCGCCCAAAAGAGCGCACATTTACAAAGATAAAAGGGACTTTGTCCGGTCTCACTACCTCCACACAAAGTGGAGCAGATATTTCAGCAAAACGATTTAAAAAAATTAAAACTGCCATTTACAGGGTTTGTACGGTCATGAAAAACCCAGAAAGCTTTGGAAAAGTCGTGAAAATGTATTTTTACAAATCTCTATATAATAGAATATATGTTTAATCACGACACGTCCTGAATCTCGGTGCGGGATTGCGCATTTTGGTTTTACTCATTCCCGCAGGTTTCGCACGTTTGCCCGCAAACATTTATTTAATATACAATTTAGATTTTTAACAGGTTAGATGAGTTAAAAAAAAATCACACAGAATATCAGATTAAGTCAATCATCATTTGCACGTCTTTTTAAACCATTCCGTACTCACGCGCTCCAAACTAGTTTTCTGGGCGCTCATGGTCACATCCAAAGCGCGCGCACATAAAGCCGTTCACCTTGGAAGTTACTAGCAATAGAACAAGGATACAAATTAAACAAAGTTTTTCAGGTAGGCTATAGCCTAAAACTAACAGTAGCTGCTACTATTCAGGAACAAAATAGTATGATGTATAAAGTCATGGATATAGATTATATTTATATATTAATCCATATTAAATATGAAAAAGTTATTTAGTCAAGAGCAGATTTGAGCAGAGTGATTTTCTTTCTTCTTCTTTTGTTCTTTAACACAGACTGACAGACCGCAGGTACAAAAGCTGCTGTCACTTTCATACCAAATGTTAATGTTAACAATGATAATTAATTAGGCCTATTGGTTATTGTTAATTAATGTTAACAACAAAAGGCAAAATCACTCACTGCTCTTGACTAAATAACATTTGTAACTTTAATTTTAAGAATTAATCTGTTGTTTAATTTAATTATTTTAAATTAAACTTATAAATATACATTTTTAATGTACAGTTTATTCCATCTCTGCAGCATTTCTGTACCTGTATTTTTTCCACCAAAGCGGTTTCTAAAACGAAATTCAGGTCCTGAGTTTAATTTATAATACTGGCTAAGCAAATTACAATATACTTAACATTCTGGCATTCAGTTATGTGATTATGTAGCCTAACTTATGTTCTCTGCATGAAGTAACGTCTGGCACAGTC